AAAACACAATGATTCTTATACTCAGGTGATTATACACTAATGAAAACATACCCATGGAAGTTATATTCCATTTCTGCCAATAGATCCTCCTGAATGTTACACACTGGACCTTAACATGTGTAAGATTGCTAAGATGTAACACGAAGATGAACCTCACCTGTGAAGCTTTTTCTGAAAGAGGTATTTCTTCTTAATGTTTGCCAGCTCATTAGCTAAGCTTTGATTTTCACTTTTGTACTCATTCATCTTGGAGTCGAGCATTCTCAGCTCTGCTATCAACGCCTGTGAAATTAGAGAAAAAAACAAACATAATTTTGCCATAAAACTTAGAGAAAGCTACAGGTACCATGATTTAACTGAAATCAACTGCACCTGTTGACAATATGTTATTACAGAAGAACACATTTTTAGATGCTTATGGACCTTTAAATAGTGAGTTGTATCAGTGCTGGTCATTTCGCTTTGAAAAAAATGTGTCACTGAAAGGATGAACAAATTGACACAGATCTCACGAAGTTTGGCACTTTTGCTTGCAATATGCTGTATTTAGGCAACTTGCTCTACATAATTAAAAACATGAAGAGCCATCAGATCAGAAACATATCAGGACAGTCTGATGAAGGCCTTCGTTGGACAAAGCTTTAATGAAAGAATTTTAGTTGGTAGACAAGTAAATACTGCAGGGCTTGACAACACTGTCAGGGGCTGACCGAGGATGGAGGATTGTGAGGGACAGAAAAAGAATAGGACAAAGATAAGTCAAAAATAAGACAAGAAAAACCACATGAAATGAAAGAAGAGTAGGATCACCTTGAGCTTTTTAGTCCTCTCTCTGACGGTCCACTGGCACCGCTGGAGCTGCTCGGCTGCTTCTGGACCCGGCTGCCGAGCCAGAATGTGCTTCAGCTCCACATACAACTTCTCCTTTTCCTTGGTGGGGACGTAGAAGGAAAGTAAAATGTAAAATGCCACATCAGGCTAGTAAATCTAGCATCTCAAGTGGTAAGAAAGAATTAAACACACTGTTTTTAGTAGAAGTAGTTAAGGTTTATTAGCTGAAGCACAAGGGTTCCCACTGTTTTTAAGAAAAAAAAAAGGTATTTTTTTTAATTTTTCAGGAGTTTGCTTGTCAATACAGGACATTACTTTTACCGGTAGGCCTACTTTTGACACATTTGACTGCAGTGTTATTCCTCCTTTTTTAATGGTGCAGGAAGTGTCTCAGGTTCATGGTAGCTGGTCAGCCTTTATGGGATACTCTGCTTTAGCTTGCTTTCATGGCACTCTTGGCTTTTCCTACCACAGCCAACTTTCAGCATCTCAATTCATATTAGGACAAGTTAAAATTGAGTTTGGGCAAGTAAACTTCTTACTTTATGAACTCTGGTGTCACACTGTTGAACTGGGTGACATCATCCTTATCACTATAAACACACACTCTGTAGTTTTTTTTTGACTCAGTCCCACATACAGTGTCCTTTGCTACAAATACTCACTAGAGCAACAAATAGAGCATAAAATAGTCTCTGCAGTATTTACTCCTATTTGAGTAACTCAAACATTAATTTTTTACTGCCCAGCTGATTTAGAGAATTACTTTTTTCAAAATAAAACTACATTTTCATGACACAAATTTTCACAGTATATATTATATATACGAAGTCACATTGCTTCCTCATAAGGAGAAGACTATTAATCCATGTGTTGAGGAGAGTGTCAAGTATTTACCTGTAATAGGAGTTCACGCTCCTCAAGCTCTTGGGTCTTGGCAATCAGTCGTTTCTGCAGGGACTGAATCTTCTGGATGAGTTCGTATTTGCTGGGGTCACTGCCCTGCAAGGGAGGATCATTTACAGAATTAATGCTCTGACATTTTCCTCTTGAAGTGTGTGATTGGTCTCTCACATAAACCAGAAGTGGAAATGTTTAGGCAGAGAAAAAACAATACAACGGACTAGGACTGTAACAGCTTCAAGCCAATCCACAGAGACATTACTAAACAAGTCCTTCACCTCCAGTCGTCTCCAGCGGTGAATATTTATGGGCTTCAGCTGTTCCTCAAGGACACTGCTCCTCGTCCTCTCTCTCAGCAGCTCCCTCTGGAGGTGGAACAGCTCTCGCCTGCAACACAAGTAGTTATTACATAAATTAATATACTAAATTTACTCCATAGTTGGCTGCGAAGTAATTTTAGTCCGATGTAGTAAAACAGAGATGTTGTATTGTTTTAGAAAAAAAATGTCCTTGGGTTATAGAAGCTAGAAATTCTAAGGAGGTTCTTCCTACCTCTGACTCTGGATGTCTCTCCGCCTTGCTCCATCTTTCTTTGACACGTATGCTTCTACTCTAAACACTGCACTTTGTAGGTCACCTCATTCTTTCTCCATCCTGCCCTCCTCTACTCCAGATTCTTCACTTAGTCATTCAATGCTGACTGCCTTTGTCAAACTCCTCTCCTCCTCCTGCCCAGGCACCTCTCTTTTACCTCAGGTCCTCTGTGTTGGGCACAGTCTTGTCCAGGATGCTCTTCTTGCGCCGGAGCCTCTTGACCTCCAGCTTGAGTAGGCGGATGTCTTCCATCCTCTGGTTGTAGTGGAAATCCCCCTTGCTCAGGATTGATTGCTGGATCCTGATCTTCTCATACAGCAGTGCACGCTCATCGTTCCGGCGTAGCAGCTGTTTGCCCAGGTTGTCCCGCTCTCTGATCACCTTCAAATAATAAGATACATACATTGTCATCCTCTTTCTCTGCTCCATCTTGGCTCTACCTCATTCTTTCTTTACCTGTTCCAGTTGCTTCTTCTGTTGGATCTGCTCAGCGTCTGCGTCGGCTATGACCTTCTGCAGTTTTTGCTGTTCTGCTTTCTGACTGTCAACACGTTGCTTTGTTTCCTCAAGCTGGAGCTTCACCACCTGCAGCTCCCCCTGTATCAGGACATAGAGATGGGTACAAATTAGGCATAAAAAGTCTTGCTGGTAATGGACAGTGAAGATAGCCCTAAGAAAAAGAAAATGTTAGGTTAAGACAGGCTGCTGTACCTTGAGGGCCTCGTTATCCTTCTCTAAGCGCTTGTGTTCCTGCTGATCCTTGGCCAGGGCAAGCTCCTTCCCAGTGATCTCATCTCTCAGTCGGGTGACTTGGTTGTTCATGGTCTTCATCTTCCTCTTCATTTCTGCAATCTCTTCCTGAGGCAGAGAGATAGACGGTGAAAGGATATGCATACAATATTCTTAGATAATAAACAAACAATTTCCTGTAATGCATACTGGCAGTCCACAGCTGACTCACTGGCTAAATTACTGCACTAATAATTCACTAACCAGGTGAATATCAGCTGTGTGAATGACAAGAACTGGTACCTGAGCCTCGATGAGGTTCTTGCTGTAGAGGTTCCTTTCAGACACAATAGACTCCAGCAGGTTCTCTTGCTGTTTGAGTTTGCACTCTGCTTCTGAGACCTTCTTCCTCCAGTCAAATATCTCCATCTCTCTTACTTCGACATCACTCATTTTTTGTTGCACCTGTGGAAGGGAGAAAGGTTCCCCTCAGACAGGCCCATGTTGACTCAAAATTATCTTGTAATATTAAAATGAATCCAAATAATAAAATGCAAAAAACTAGCTCTCCTGCATAACCTGCCTTCTGCATGAGGTTGCTGGTCTCGTTGATATAGCGGTCACGTTCTTTTTCCAGCTGTTGGATGATCTTGCGTTGCTTCTGGGCCTCCTGGCGGTAGCCATTGATCTCGTGCTCCAATGTCTTCTTGTCCTGCTCAAGGAGCTTCACAAGGTTCTGCTGTTTCTCAGTCGACTGTGAAGCTTTGATCATGTTCTATTGAATGAGATCAGACACACAAATAAAGGAACATGAGTAAATATATGTTAATTCTGATGTATTTGTAGCTGGTTTAGAAGCAGGAATTGTTGTTCACAAAACTGTGTAAGAGTCAACAGATAATTTTATGTTGATTAGAAAAACTGTAGTTAACAAGACAAATACCCACAACTACCTCAGTTTGCAAGAATGGTACACTACAATGCATACCTTATTTAAGATGTCTCTCTCTCGGATCAGCTCATCTATGGCTTTCCTGTCAGCTTCAACTTGCTTTTGGGAAGATTCAAGATCTGCGGAGGGAGAAAAATAGGGATAGTTTGAACTGGTCAAAAGTCAATTAGAGATATTTTTCTATTAACTTGTTCTCCTCCATGAGTGTGCCACTGTGTCATTTCAAGTCATTTTGTTGGTTTAAAGGGACAGTTCGCCACAAAATAAAAATACGTCCTTTTAGAATATGTTATTGCATGTAAATACTTTTTTGCTTTTGATAAATGTATTACTCATGGGGCTGAATTGGGTCCCTTGTTGACACTGGGAGAGCTCTAGGATCAGTTATTAACAAACTGAAATTATGTAATGATCTTGGCTATTCTACATATACTTAACTTAATAATGCATGTTTCTACCCAATACTGAGCTATGCTGCAGGGATATGGGGCTATATCATGTTTTCCAGGGGTTGGGTACCAGGGTCAGTACACCAAAATGTGATCCGACTGTAGAATCATCTAATCAAAATGGCAGCAGATAAATAAAACGGCGAAACATGTTGTTCACTCTTAAATAAACCACAGTGAAGTCATTCCAGTGTGCGGGGGTTCATTTTAATGTTTTACTCCATGGTCCTGCGACCTACCAGCGTCTGACTGTTGGCAGTGCATGGGGATTCCTGTTCATGAGTTATAAATATATATAGATATCTATATATTCAATGTTTCTGCATGGCATTGAACAGTCAAATATGTAAATACTATATGTTAAGAACATTAAAAATATATATTATTTTATAGTTTTACATAACTTGCATGCATGAGCTCACAGGGACCAAGACAGGGCAGCACTGAGGGAGAGAAAGACTGGGATCATAGAGAAGATGATAGTTCATGTGTGTCTCCACGTATATACTTTGCGTCTATGATAAAAAAACATGACAAGCTCCCGTACCTTTCTCCAGACCAGCAATCTGAGCTTTGAGTGTTTCCTTCTGCACATCCACATCGGCTTTCTGATCCTCCATCTGGTGGAACCTCTTCTGGATGGTCTCTCTCATCTTTGTTTGTTTGGCAATCTCCTGACGCATCTGGTTCACTTCATCTTCTCTCATCTAACAGGTGGGATGGGAGGAGTTTAATTAAGCATTAGGCAGAAGTAGCGAGGAGTGGAAAGGGTTCTGAGTGTGGATAACAGATGTTACTGTACGCTGAGGGTTGTAACTCAAATTCAGCCTGTCTTTTTGACCACTGTTTCTAACATGATGTACAGCAGTGCCCCCCTGTGGTTCAAAAGAATCATATCATCTATTTTCAGGTAGCCTCCACTGCTGAAGATTTGAGACAATACTGACAAAAATGTAAGTTCCATGATTTCTGTTTAGGGAAATATAATAGGATAATTTTCAGAATTGATCAACTTTACCCATGTACTGTATCAAGCCTATAAAAGATCAGTGAGGAGTGACTAACTAAGCTCGAATGATCCGGCAAGCTATGGGGCAATTCTATTTTAAAAAAATTATTTTGTTTGATGCAAAATAATAGCAAAGGTTTCCCCGCAAATGATTCATAAGAAGAGAGCAGGTTTCGGGCTTAAAAGCTGCAGTAGGTAACTT